TGCCAGATTCAGTTCTGAATGTGAGACATTTTCATCTGCAATGTTCAGTTGATTATCTGGGCATATGAGTTCACTTGACCTGAGCTAACCTCAATTATAGCCGATGAATATGTGATTGCTTGACTGCTGAAAGTGCGCTGAAAATTGAGCACTAGGACTTATTTTTGGAGATATGAGGTAGAAAAATAATACAGTAATTTCCCCCTTATCTTCAAAATTTTTCAAAATCACGGGTGACAAATTAAAGCTAGTGCTTTCAGTTAAATGGTTTAAAAAGAAAAAAATCACTCATTTGAGAAATCCTCTGCCAAAAACATTCAAAACAAAACAAAATCTCGGCTCACAAGCGACCTGATCCCAGGAATGCCAAACGCTCGCCAGAAAGTCTGCGTCAACCACAGCATGGAAAACGTGTACCAACCATGGTTCAAACTGTAATCCCCCACTACCCTGGCCTGCTGCTGAAAATCCTTGTAATTCGTGGGCAATTCCAACTCTTTCTCAGAGGCTGGGCCCAGTTTGTACGCGGCTAGCAGAGTTGCCAGCGAGAGCCCGAACATGGTCGCGAATCCCGCCAGGCCATGCATGATGGTGAAACCGTCGTCCACGTGCTCATGGCTTTAATCGAATAACTTAGTCCTCTAAGGCCCGGAGGCATAATTATTAATTAAACCAATAAGAAGTAAATTTATCACAACATCCTGAAAAAAAAAGAGCTCGGTCAAGGCTCCTCATCCGTGCCTGAATATGGATCCCGTTCGGATTTCGCGAGGTTTTCTTCCCCGGAAAATAACCGCCACGAAACGGTATTTCGGACCTTTTTTCCCCCCCAAGACTTTCAGAGACTTTTTCTTAAACGCTGAATTAAAAAATGGGCGCGAAAATGGAATGAATGCAGATACAAGTCTTGGGGAAATATCTTCTTCCTTTTCATGTTCGTCAAGCGTCAATTAATAGAAGTTCCTTTTCGGAAGCATAAGACTTGATTGAAGTTGCTGATGAAATGTTACCGAAAGAAACATAACCTACATTATTCGTATTTTTTGTTGCTGAAATGATATCAAATCTCTGTGAAGTACATTTAAATCAGGTGCCCTGCACTTATATTTCCACTCGGATGAACTTGTACGAAATCTTCAAGCTCAGTTCAAAGTCTCTCTGAATTTTTAGTCAGGGACATTTCTCAATTTTATTGTGCATTCATCACAAGGGCTGTCGATTTCAGGGCATTATTCGAATCCAGAGAATATATCATTACTTTTGTAATTTTTTTTTTATTTTCAGGAGGAGAAAGCGAGGATACACTCATTGAAAGTCATGCTCTCATTAAAGATCATACTCTTCTTTTTCAAATCATAAAAAGACTCCTGTACAAGTTTCTGGGATTTCATTGTTGAATTCGATACATTTTATCTCGATGCAATTTAAATCGCACGATACAAGATAGCTTTTGTGGAATCTTTACTTGCTGAATTAAAAAGACGTTGGCGGGAGCCAGAACCAAAATTCATTCCAATCGAACAAAGTCTGCTCTGTTCGATGGAACGTTTCTGACGTGACATGTTAGTAAACATTTGGAGAAACGTGTGGCGTGGGTTGTTCTTCGCTGTCGAGGAAAAAAACCGTTGGTATCTTGAGCGTCGACAGGCTGCCGGGTGTCGGTGTCGGTGTCGTGGTTTTGCTGATATGATTAGGTTTCGGTTTATAACATTACACTTACGGACACAGCCGTCGGAGCTCTTGAAAAAAAAAAAACAAAGAACGGTTTCGTTGAGAACTATATACGATAAGCGGAGCTTCGCGAGAAGTAGATTCAAAATTCCAGTCTCACGAGATAATATACAGCAGGGACATTATTACACCAGTCGGTTGTCTGTTTGCTACTGATGGAACGATTGGAATCTCAGACATTAATTATGATTGCATTTTCGCTTGGGGCGGAATGTTTCATTAACGAGGACGTAATTTAAGAAGGCATATCCTCATATTTTCAGCTGCAACTGCTGTAGAATCCACGACATTACCATATTTTCAAGTGCCTCAATTGCTGATTTTCCCACTTCTCTATGTGGCGTATTATCTTGAGAAAATTGAGAATACAAATTCATGTGGTGTGACAACAAATTTTGAATATAGTGAAAGCAAAAATAATTTTAGTATGTTGTGCATCACTGCTGTTTTGGTAGTGTTAAGACGAATAAGTTGCCTCGTCGCTGCATAAAAGTACTCATAAACTATTTTTTTTAATAAAAAAAAATGTCATTGACAAAAAGGGAAAAGAATGAATCTTATTTATGAGTGAAATTCTCTGGGCGAAAAATGAAAATTTTCAACGTCATAATTTTGAATGTTTGACATTTTCCAAGGACAAGGCAAACAAATAACAGTTGGACATTGAAAGTTCAAAAACCTCTTCATTTCCAATTTCCAGTTAATCCCTGGCCAGCTCACTGAACTCCTATGGACATGCCCCTACATATGGAAAATTTGATACAAGGGCAGCCATAACTAAAATCTGCCCCAACATCCAGACAATGTCTCAAGATGCACAATTTTTCAACATTTCCATAAAAATGCAACATTTTTCTTTTTCAAAATTTGAATATCTTTGGAACAAAGTGAGCCATTTATTTCCACAAAAATTTCAAATAAGTTTCATTATAAAATTTCTTAAGTTCTAATAATCAAAAACAG